CTACTCCTGAGGAACCATCGACCGTAGTTCCTACTAGTGAAGAACCATCAACGGTAGCTCCTAGCAGTGAAGAACCATCGACAGCAGCTCCTACTAACGAGGAACCATCGACAGCAGATACTACTACGGAGGAATCATCGACAGCAGATACTACTACGGAGGAATCATCGACAGCAAATACTACTACGGAGGAATCATCGTCAGCAGATACTACTACCGAGGAATCATCGACAGCAAATACTACCACCGAGGAGTCATCGACAGCAGATACTACTACGGAGGAGCCATCGACAGTAGTTCCTACTACCGAGGGATCAACTTCAGAAGCAACAAACAGTTCACCAACTGGAAGCACAGGAAAAGGCGAATGTCCAACACATGGACGAGTACGATTTCCGCATGAATCTGTTTGTCACTTATTCTACGAATGCAATGACGGAATTAAGTCGGTTCGTTCATGCCTGGTGGGTTTAGTTTTTAACCCGGTATTGGGTGTTTGTGATTATCCCGATAATGTACATGGCTGTGAAGAGAAGCCAATTTCTTTTGTATAATATATACTGCTTTCAAGTACGAGAAATGCAGTAGTTGACGTATGAAAGGATCACTTTATGGGAAGAAGTATACATTTCTTGAGATGACATGACGAACTCCTACGATTTGACGAAAGAATTTGTATATACGTGCATGATTTTGGTTTTTAATGTAGCTGCATGTTTACACTCTACTCACCATTGCAGTTTAGGATTAATAGACACTGTATGCTACTATTGTTTTAGGTTTTAATTTTACGCTGCATTTAGCTTCCATGGTTATGACTATTCGATAAGGATAGTATTGAAGTAATAATAAAATATTTGAAGTGAATTCGTTCATTGTTCTTTTTTGTAATTCTAACGCGAATGGAACTTTATGATTACATTATTGTTATAAACAATTTATTTTCTGTTCCTGAAGGTATTTCATTTTGTGTTTGTGGCAAACAGACCTTCCTTCAGGTCAAGGAAAACAGGAAATTATTGAATATACACATATAAGAATACATGTGTAAGGAGGTGTACGATATTAGTGTCAGGATAGAAGATATAAGCGTATCTTAAAACTTGATGAATCATTTTCGATTGCCCGTATGTTACTTTGATTGCTGACTTAATCGTAAACACGATTAATCGTTACGTACCTAAATTACCTACTATACAAGACTAGTATAATTAAAAAATACGACGCGCAACCGCTGATTAATACCATCTTAACGAGCTCCAATAATCTGTGACGCACACAGGCTGCCATGTAAGATCTACGTCGCGATTATCGCCAAAATACGTACAACGACATGTGTCAGAGGATCACGACCAGTTAGTTAACCAGAATGAAATGGTGGGGAATAAATTCATCGAAATCAGATATCCGGTATGATTACCCAATCTGTTATTTTTCTGATAAGATGACTTGCCTATAAAAGCCGCGCTATGTACATCTGATTTCGCAATACTTATTAATTAGGCCGAGACAACGTGCTGCTATTCAATTTCCGATGAGCATCCCGCTAAATATGATGGGTGAGTAAACATTCTCTTTGCCTTCTCGTTCGTTCGCCACGTTACCTTCTCACAATTCCCTGCAACGAATACATCCGTGCGGCTCTAACGTTTCTCCAGCAGCGGTGACGTTCGCCGATGCTATCGCGTTTACCAATCAATTCGACATCGGCGAGGGGCGAATCGGTTAGCCGAATGTATAGTTCAAGCCTAAAGTTCCCCGTTTATCGGTGCGCGATAAATGATCCGTGCTACGGTTATCTAATCGAAAATCGAGAATCCGTGCGATGTTTGTTCGAAAGAGCAGCGCAATATTTTCCCAAGTTATTCGCAGTGGTCAATTAGGAGACACGGTGTTTCCGACGATGATCCAAACGCGATCACGAGAGCCTAGTTTCCTCTCTTCGGCAAAGATGCTCGTTCATTTGAGAGCACAGCTATCTAGAGTTACTCTCGAGAGCATTTCCCGCTGGTGAACGTTGGAGATGATTATTCGAAGGAATCGTCGCGCTCGTTATTATTCTCAAGGGAATCTCCACCCGCGAGAAGCAGCGGCGAGAGTGACTCGCGATAGTTCTACTCTGAGGCTGAGAATTTTTCTAAGGAATCGCCTTCGTTTGCGACACGAAACCATCACGCGACTTGATCTATTTCAGGATTCCTGTTCGCGGTCGCCGCCGCGATCGCGATAGCGACCGGTGTTGCAGCCAGCGCGGACCTTTCGATCGAATGCTTTCCGGATGGATCCGCCGATGACGCGCGGTATCCGCACGAGTGCAGCTGCAAGATGCATTACGAATGCACGAGCATGGGGCCGGCGTTGAAGTATTGCTCCGCCGGGACGTTGTTCGATTTCAGGAGCGGCGAATGCTTACCGATCCACGCGGCGGACTTCGAGCACTGCGGCGACGAGAGACCGCCTTCGAAGAACTGTCCACCGGTCGGTAACGCAGTGTTGCCCCACGAGACCGATTGCTCGTTGTACTACCAGTGCGAGAACGGCCGGAAGACCGTGCAACAGTGCAATCAGGGACTGTACTTCGACGAATTGAAGAGCATGTGCGTTTGGTGGCAAATGGCGGAGTGTTCCGCGCAGGCAACGCTGCGAGACGAGTACCAGGAAATTGAATGTCCGCGGAACGGATCTAACGAGAACCCGAATCTGCCGCACCCTTGCAACTGCAGATTGTACTACCATTGCGAGGATGGGGAAGCGATACGCCAGGTCTGTCCGGATGGCAAGGAATTCGATTACATCAGGGGCATCTGTGACGATCCAACGAATTTTCATTGCATCAGACCTATTCCTATCACCACAACTACGTCAACAACTCCAAAAACGACAACTACGTCAACAACTCCGTCAACCACGACTACGTCAACAACTCCATCAACCACGACTACGTCAACAACTCCAAAAACGACAACTACGTCGACAACTCCGTCAACCACGACTACGTCAACAACTCCAAAACCAACCCCCGGCTGTGGCTGGAAGTCATGGAGGAAACCTTTCCCAGGCGACTGTACGCGATATTACGAATGTAGAGAGGGCAGCGTAACCGTCGAGAAGTGCACGAACGGGTACTACTACAACGAGATCCTGCAAATTTGCGACCTGCCTAAGAACACTAACTGCAAGGACGCGCCGGATGAATGCCCCGCCTCCGATTGCATTGGTAAAGTACGTCTGCCGCATCCATGGGATTGCACCAAGTATTACGTATGCTGGGCCGGGATTAAGGTGGTCCAGGAATGCCCGGAAGGTCTTTACTACGACAGGAAAACGGAGATTTGTAACTGGCCGAAGAACGTCGAATGCACTATAGTGTGTAAACCAGGAGATAGGAGGCAGCACGAATGTGATTGCAGCATGTATTATCTTTGCAAGGAAGGGTACGAAGTGGTTCACCACTGTGACGAGGGTTGGAAGTTCGACTGTCCCAGCAAAACATGCGTTGAACAGTCGCAAGCCCAGTGCTGCCAGAAACATTCGAAATTCTGCTAAGCTCTTCCATACAGCATTCCTCGAAACTATTCACTGAATCACTAACGTCCCGATTCTCGCGATTTCCAAGCTTCCCTTATTCCTTCTCTCCTCCGATCGTAGCATACGCTTCATAAGGATAACGGATTATTTTGCAGCATTTTGACGCGTGCACGTCGATTTTCACTTATTCCTTCGTAACGACGACGAATGCGAACGATTATTAATTACTCCGTGTTACGACGCTTACGTTAACACTATTATCTGGTTACTTAACGATCTTCATTCGGCGTCGATTGTCTTGCGTATTGCAGTTGTTCTCGTGCGATTCACGGACGCCGGTGATCGCGGCAGTCACAGGTATCGACTCATCGCACTCCAGAGTCGACGACTGATTTGACACAGGAAAATTGTAAATGATTGATATTAATGTTTAATATTACATTTCGTATCATGCATCAATATAGGAAGTATCGAAAGAAATTAGTTTCCCTTCTCGATGTACGTGTGATTTCTCGCTAAGTCGATTTCAGGAAATGTCATCTCGTCGGGGAGCATTGAGTAGCTCCGGTGAAAAACTTCTGGAGTGCAGAGGGTTGATTTCTTTATTATCGGAACGTCGTTCTGCCGTGTGTTCGGAGAACGAACGAGAAGATCGCGCGCAGGAAGATTTTGTTCGAACGTCGTCCGCCTTTCTTTCAAACTTGCTTCGAGAGTCCGCGGAATTTCGCTTATCTCTAACAAGACCTCGATGTACGGATGCATTCTGTCCGAAGAATAAAATTCCTCACCGCAAATTGAATTGTGTCTCCTTTACCTGCTCCTTCGTACTCAATTTACGGACTTCCGTCGAACAGTTTGTCCCATTGTCCATAAAAGAAATCGATGTTCATTCAATTAACCCTTTGCACGCCGAATTTCGTTTGCATTTTCTCCTCGATAACTGTGTTATTACCATATTTTGTTAGTCGTAACGTTATCATTAGTTATGTCGAGCGTGACGTCAGTTCTATTCACAGGTGTGACTCTTCGTCAAGATATCTTTCAAGTACATTACATTATTGCAGGATTTATTTATTAAAATCCCACGTGTTGCCGTGGCAGGGAATGAAAAGAAGAAAAGATACGCTCAGTGGTTAACAATAACAAAAATCTGAAGAACACTTTATTCCAATATGACTCTCTGACTAGCTAAGAAGAAGTCCTGTCTGTCCTCTGTCCTCCATCCTCGCTGTCTTTCCCTTCTCTCCCATCCTTTTTACACTCAACCACTCACTCACTCGCTCACTCGTTACCCTCAACCACGCAAAATTCCTAGGCAATAAACCCAGATCACCCGAAAACATCCACTCCGTCCGAAACGCTCTTCGTTCGCACTCCACGTTTTTCCAAACCGTTTTGCAGGCATACGTCCTCATCCGTTCAGTGATTTGCAACATCCACTCTGACTCATTCGAACTTTCAATTGTCTGGAAATATCCTACATTAATATGCTCAATATTATTGGTAAGAAGAATCGTTTACACTGCTCCGTACGAACTATCCACTCTTTAACCCTTTGCACTCGGATGTTATTTACTAGTGTAGCATCTAGAATTATTTAGCGTAGGTTAAAGTATTGTAGGATGAACGGTTTGTTGTGCGTGCGTAAGGGCGACCAGGTCGTATTGCGACGGACCGGCGCCGGGATGTTTGGAAAATAGTGCGACTGCGTTTGGAAAATCTCGAGTCGCTGAAGGAATACGAGGAAGAGGTGTCTGGAACTGACCGACTGGACCGTGAGAAAAGCGTGTACGCGACTGCGTGAATTTTGACTATGGACGAAAGATGCGAGTGAGAAGGGTGCAAGGGTGAGAAAGACAGAGCGAATGGGGCTGTGTGTTAAAAGCGAGTGGGAACGCGTGCGAGAAGGACATTTTGGCGAGAGACAGCGGAGAACATTTTTGTGCGCGATGGAGGGTCGTGTGTTGGCCTTCGTGGTATTAAGTTGTATTTTTACGTGTTGTCCATGTTGTTTCCTAATTCTCTTTTTACTGAAGATCAACCTTTTCGATATCTATAATAATAGTAGCTCCACTATAAAATTGGGGGCTCAGCCGGGATCACTGTACTAGAAATATTTAACATTTCTTCACGAGGCGAAGACGACGTTCTCTGAGACTAATTCGAAGAGAAATCACCAGCGCATTGATGAACAAAGCTGTTTTATTCCAATGTTTCACGTATCGAGGCATTATACAAAGTTTAACATTAAATATCACATTCTACAGTTTTACTGTGTCGAATCAAGTGGTGACTGAGAGCCACCTATCGAGTGCAGAGGGTTAACACGTTGAATGCCATGGGGGTCACCGGTGACCCCCAAGCAAATCGAAGTACTATAATTCACTCGATTAAACCATGATTATTCACAGACATTTCTATATCACAAATAATGCTATCCATTACAGTGGCATTCGGTTCGATGAACGTGCAATGATAACAATCCAATTCAGTCAAATGATTTAATATTGCATTTTTTCCAATTTATGTATTCTGCGCCATGAAATCGTGCGGCGTTCGACGTGTTAAAATAAATTTCGAACAATATATATCGTAATAATACAGCGTTATCGAGGGAAGCGTACAAAAGAAATTCGGAATGCAAAGGATTAAAGGACCAATGTTCCGATAGTATCGGTATTGCGATCAGTGCCGGATACCGTTATCGGAGCGTTAGATCAATAGGACGCGTAAGATCTTACAGCGAAGATTATAATTGTGGTTAATCTTAATGTAGAAAACTATCTGAATTACGTAATGCGTACACGTACTTTCTGGCTAATCAAAAATTGGCACAGTTGCCGGCCGATAAGGCTTCTCGCTTTATATAAAAGTGGTATCGCGATAATCAAGAGCTATAGTTGCTCGTGAAGATTTTGCGGTGCGCCGTCTCACGAACTCAGTTGTTTCTCCGCTGTCCGCTATGAAACGTGAGTAGCCGTGCATCCACCCCTACACCAATCCGACCGCTCGTCCGAGAACGCATCGCGAATCTACGAATTCAGGCGTAATTCGTTCTCCGGCTGGCGCGCGACTTCCGGTGACATCGAGTCGAGTCGAATCAATCCGAAACCGTCCTACCGTCTCGTCCCCGTGGTCCCGACAGAAAAAAAAAGAAGGAACGGAAGGGAACGAAATGTCACAAAGCGAATCGCGGGAACCTGTACTTCACACCGGAGAAGATATTATCCTCGTTCCAGTGAATTCCAGCGGCGAAAACCCGATTGTCCTTTGAATTTGAAAAGATAACGTATCGACGTGCCGTTCGATCAGTCCGTTAATCTGTCCCCGCTGAATCCAGGTTCCAAATTCCAGGCTCCGTCGAATAGGGAACCGCGGATGATTCGCGGAGCACAGCCGCGTTGCGAGAGAATCGCGCGATTCGGATCGGGAGGGACGGTAATCACGGTACATGTAAATCGCACGTTTCTCATATTTCAGAGTGGTACATTTTGGCGGTGATCGCCGCGGCGATCACGCTTTCCGAGGAGAAGGTGTGGAAGGAATGCCCGGTGAACCCGCCCCCCGAAGCGGTACACGTCGCGCACGAAACGGACTGTCACAAGTTTTACAAATGCGTGGGATTGGACAAGGTTGTGTTCGACTGCCCGAAGAACTTATGCTTCAATCCGGAGCTGGAGGTCTGCGACTGGCCGTGGAACGT